ACGCACCGGTCATCCGTCCACACGCCTGGGACCGGCCACGTCCCGGGCCAGAGCCGGCACACGAGTGCTCTGTAACGCGACGCACCGGTCATCCGTCCACACGCCTGGGACCGGCCACGTCCCGGGCCAGAGCCGGCACACGGGTGCTCTGTAACGTGACTCGCCGGGCACCCGCCCACGCGCCTGGGACCGGCCACGTCCCGGGCCAGAGCCAGCACACGAGTGCTCTGTAACGCGACGCACCGGTCACCTGACCGCTCGTGAGGCTTCGAATGGTCGGCAGTCGGTCCCTGCGGCCGGCCGGCCAGCCTTCGGCACGCAGCGCCCCGGCCCAGACCAAATGCATCATGTTACACATACTTCTCCTTACTCTCTGCGACCGTATTCGATGCTGAAGGGTTCATAGTCACTCCCGACGCCAAAATTTTACCTGTTTCGCTTTTGGAATATGGCCGCAGCTCTGTAAAACCTTCTAAGGAAGTAGGGAGTCACGGCGAAACTACTTCGGCCAGTATGGCATATATAGTAACTTTGTGAAAATTGTTATAACTCAGCAAGCAACACATGATGTCTATATCCTCGAGTGCTTTTGTAAAAATGTAACCGAAGTTAAGCATGATGTTTTTGTGAGAGTTTGGGGGGGATGGGCACCCAGTGTATGCATGCACACATATGTACGTGGTGATACTGGGGAAATGAATAGGGCATACCTTTCCAGAATGTTAATCCTTTGCCTTAATTCCGTTTGCATGGTGGTCGATGCTTAGTGCAGGCCAATTTAAGGTTACTGCAGTGGTTAGTTGTTCAATGCATTCGCGAGGAACATGATGCACATAGATAAGGCAGAAGCAATAGACAAGCCAAACAAGCAAACATTCCTCGGGGGAAAACCAGGAGAATGGAGGAAAATATTGGTTGATATTTCGGCAACATGCCTCCATCGAAAAAACAGTAAACATTCTGCTATTGTTTCGACAAATGCATGTTGCCGAAATATCAACCAATCATTATTACTGTATTATCTATGTTACTGCAGTGGATCCAATGCGTTGTCAACGCGACAATGCATTGGATCAAGAAAGGCATTGAACACGACACTAATTCGTCTGTTCGCAGCGTAATGTTAAATTCCTCATGTCAGCGCACTCTGCGGATCTGACCTGATCTGCGCTGCTGTTAGATGTTCCTTACCACGCTCCCGCATGGCCGGTTGAATACCCTTCGCTCGGATTGGGAGGTCAGTTTGTCCCCTCTCCCAGAAATCTTAAGAACTAGAGCTATAGACACCAAATACACAAAGTGTGTTGGCCTGTATGTGAACTCACTTTTGTCAGAATGTAATATGCGTAGGTTGCGACCTTCGGTTTAAATAAGGTCAAAAAGGTAAAAATCCAAATAGGTGTCCAAAGTGCCCTCAGACCTTCTCATGCAGCCTGCGTGAAGATAGATGTCTGTTCCAAACAAAAGGTCAATGGTGCTCATTTTAAGTCAGTGGCCTTAGTTGACCTTTACAAATTAATGGTGACAAATCATAAAGCATTATTTTGATATTTGCATTTTAATAAGCGTCAAAGATTACCTTATTTGGTATGTTCCCAGAAAAACTATAGATGACCAGACTCATTGTACGTGGGTGGCCTATTCTGACCTTAAGAAGTTCATGGAAGATGTATTATGCGGTCCGTTACTAAAAAGTTCAAAATGAACTGCAGAAACACCACACAGCTCTCAAACAGAGAACAGCTGGGCTTTGACATTTGTCTGACCTTCACACCTGACCCAAGGTCAATACAATTTGTTTATTCGAGTGTTGCGTTGCCTAAGAAACTATTTCAGAGATGTATGGCTACGTCTAACAGTCTAGATATTGCCTTCGCCGATTCCATGGACAGACTCTTACCTGTCACAAGTAAGTGACCTTACAAGGTGCATATAAATTTGTAATACCAAAGATTTGCTATTCAATTGTCTACAGCTGTGCAAAATTCGGCGCGGCTAGGCCACGCTCTTCGGAAATCGTTTCAGAGAAACATTCAGAGGAATCAAATTAGCCCACTCCCCCACCTTAGCGCGTGTAAAAGAATTTTTGGTTTCAATTGCACTGCAGGGGGATGCATAACACGCGACTTCTAAGGACTTTGATCTTAAAGAGAATGTTTTACGTTTGAAGGTATTGAAGCAAGCGTCAGATGTGACGAAACAAACTCACTTGTATCTAGTGGCGCATTTTTGCAAGTGGAAAAGGCTGCTCTAGACGGCGCAATTGTTGGCGGGATGCTCCTCAATGCGTCATTTGATTAGGTCGTCGTTCCTTGCACGACATTGCTTGAGAGCCAGTTGACGGCCGTTATATCTGGAAGCCGCGATCACGAACGCCAGATATGAACGTCTAAACAGTTATATATGTATTGGCCTCGATCGCCGCATGGCTTATGGAACGGCAGGATTTCAACGGCGTTATTATTTACGTCATGAATGCCAGGGTGACTTCGGAGTACTCTCCCGGTATACCTTCTTCGGTATACCGGGGAGAGTTCTCTCCCCGGAGAGCACTCTCCCCAGAGTACTTTCTCTCCCCGGTACACCTTCTTCGGTATACCGGGAGAGTACTCTCCCCGGTATACCTTCTTCGGTATACCGGGGAGAGTACTCTCCCCGGAGAGCACTCTCCCCAGAGTACTTTCTCTCCCCGGTATACCCCGGTACCCTATTTTCGCGGGTGTGGAACTCAGAAGCAAGAGGGGCTTAGATCTTGAGAATGGCAGGATTGTGAACAGCACTGAAAGGTCTTCAAGACAAGTATTTCAGTCAAAACCCCAGATAAATGTGAGACACCCCTTTATACGGTACTTGCCCTGAGTGGAGTGCGAGTGACGCACCTTTGTGTTTTAGTTTAACAAAATACGACGTGGTTGGCTGGGGAGCCACACTCTGAATGGTTCTAAAAGATAACTGATAAACAGCCTCTGAGATAGAGATCACTAGCACGCCATGTTACGCGCTATCAACCTGCCAGTCAGCGGAAGCAGTGTCCTCTGATACGTATCTCATTTACTAGACGGCAGCTCCCACGTACGTTCCAGAAACCTCAACTGTCTGTCATGCGACGACCCAAAGAAGATCACGGGCCTGACGGCGGCGCCGGTGGTGCCCCTGCTGGAGCCGTTCCCACCGAGCGTAGGCGATCGACACCAGATCAGCTACCGCATGGGCAACATTCGACGCCAGCAGCAAATGTAAGTGCCGGTTACCCGGCCCAGGGACCCGATCATTAGCACCACCGTTGGTGAGTGGGATTTGTGAAATCAGTGCTCTTTGTGGGTTTAGCTTAGACGTGTGTTGTGTGCAACCATGCGATCAGGTGGTCCCACCCATGTTGGAAAATGATGTTACGCGTCGTTGCTCGTTGCCGCCACCAATTAAGGTCATTCCCGCTGCAGTGTATTAAGTCTCATCGCTGCCACCAGTATCACTTATCTGATTCCTTCAGGCGGTGCGAACCCTACAAGGATATGACGTCACACCAGGGCGCGTTCCGCAGCCATATCAAGCAGGAGATCGACTACATGACACACCGCGGAATCCCCCACCACCCCACCTGTCCTCTCTACAATAACAGGTGTGCAGCGCGCCTCAGAAGCAGTTCAGCCATGGTCCATGGTCGCGTGGTTTATGGAATATGGGCGTGCCTCATGGCTGTTGTGGGTGCTGGTTGGATGGGGCTGAACGTTCTGTCGTGTATCATGCAAAGTTGTCACCAATCCGGCCTTGTGTGTTTCCTTTTTAAAGAAAGTGAAGTCACTTCCAATGAGTTCCCGATGGCAGGTGCACCAGCCCCCAAGATAATTTGCTGTGCTGTGCGATGCGCATGCGGGTAGACAATCGACAACTTTAGAATATACTATTTGCCCACGACGATATCCGCATGCGTAAGATCTCACCCAGTTAAGATGCATCAATAATCATCCGTTGCAAGGTATGCACTCGTCTGACATGTTCACCAGCATGCCTCGCGTACCTACATCGAGATGCGCCTCTTCCATCCACTGGCGTGACTGTGTCGCTGTGACTTGTATCGGACCCGGCTGACCCGCTCCTGTCGCCACCTGCTGTCGCCATTGACGGCTACGCTTCGCCCGACCGCCGCCAGGATTCCGCATGGCCGCTGTACGTGCGTGGCGACGCGCTTCTGCGGCGGCTCACACACCAAGATCAACTGCGTGGACACGCGCATGCGACGAATCGGCCTGGGCGCCCCGCTGATGCCGTTCGGGGCGGCGCTGCCGGGCGCGCCGACCCCGGGCCGAGCCAGCCGAGAGAGAGTGACTAAGTTAGTGGGCCACCGCTCGGTGGGCGCCAAGCACTCGCTTGTAACGCTTAATCGTTCACGCATTGGCTCACTTGTACTCAAGCTGCTGACTCACCTAGTTTTTTTTCGCAAATCACATTTTGTTACACCCTCTTTGTTGTCATCACTCGCTTACCATAATAGAATGTAAGTTTAACTTCAGCGGTAAAGGTCTTGTGTTGATGAGCTGGGCTGCTAAGGCCTTGCAAGTCTGCGCATGTGTGCATGTATGACCGGTTGGATCATTGGTGGCCCACGATTGCTGAAGTGAGGTGCGCTATGAATCTTGTGCTCGATTAGATATTATAAAAGGACCCTTCCTATGGCGTCAGTTTTGGCCAGCTGCTGACACTTAACTGGCTGACCACGCTCTCCGCGGCAGCAGCTCCATGTCCGAGCCATGCCCGGCTCTCTCCTGGCTTCTCCGCATGACCTCGTCATGACCCCGTCGCCACCCTCCACAGGACGCCTTCGGGCACAAGCCAGCGGTCAGCCGGCGGCCGGCGACCGAGCTCTCGCGCCGAGCCGGCGGCCGTGCCGAGCCTGACGCGCCCGACGTCCGGCATGCGCCAGACGCGCTCCTCGGGTGTGGTGCTGCGCCGCCGCAGCTCGGCCGACATCGGCTCCAAGTCAGCGCCCGGCTTCGTGACGCCGCGGCCTGACTCGGCGGCGGGAACATCGACTAGTCGGCGCACACCGCAGGGGAGTCCGCCCAAGCAGCGCACGCCGACGGGCAGTCCGCCGAAGGAGGGATCACCGCGAGGGACGCCTCCAGGGACGCCTCCAAAGGAGGGGACGCCTCCAGGAACGCCACCGAAGGAAGGAACGCCTCCAGGAACGCCACCAAAGGAGGGAACGCCTGCGGGAACGCCAACGAAGGAGGGAACGCCCCCTGGCACGCCGCCAAAGGAAGGAACAGCCCCGGGTACGCCACCGAAGGAAGGAACGCCTCCAGGAACGCCACCGAAGGAGGGAACGCCTCCAGGAACGCCACCGAAGGAAGGAACGCCTCCAGGAACGCCACCGAAGGAGGGAACACCTCCAGGAACGCCACCGAAGGAAGGAACGCCTCCAGGAACACCACCGAAAGAGGGAACGCCTTCGGGAACGCCACCGAAAGAGGGAACGCCTCCAGGAACACCACCGAAAGAGGGAACGCCTCCTGGAACACCACCGAAGGAAGGAACGCCTCCAGGAACACCACCGAAGGAAGGAACGCCTCCAGGAACGCCACCAAAGGAGGGAACGCCTGCGGGAACGCCAACGAAGGAGGGAACGCCCCCTGGCACGCCGCCAAAGGAAGGAACGCCTCCTGGAACGCCACCGAAGGAAGGAACGCCTCCTGGAACGCCACCGAAGGAAGGAATGCCTCCAGGAACACCACCGAAAGAGGGAACGCCTTCGGGAACGCCACCGAAAGAGGGAACGCCTCCTGGAACGCCACCGAAGGAAGGAACGCCTCCAGGAACGCCACCGAAGGAAGGAACGCCTCCTGGAACACCACCGAAGGAAGGGACGCCTCCCGGAACGCCACCGAAGGAAGGAACACCCCCGGGAACACCGCCGAAGGAGGGAACGCCTCCTGGCACGCCGTCGCAGGGAACGCAGCAAGGGGAGTCTCCGGCGGCGGAGGAGGTGGCAGCGTCAGGGGAGGGGGAGTCTCCTGCTGAGGAGGCTGCGGAGGGAGCTCCCGAAGGGTCGGCGGTCGAAGGGGCTGCCGCTGGGGAGACGGCAGCAGGACCAGCTCCCGAAGAGGCGTCAGAGGCGCCTGCCGCGGAGGAGGCGGAGCCGGCGGACGCTCCAGCTGCCGCCGAGGAGGCGCCTGCGGAGCCCGCCGCCCCCGAGGGGGCCGCTCCGGAGGAGACGCCGAAGGACGATACTGCAGACCAGGGTCCCGGCACGGAGCCCGCTGAGGAGCCGGTCGCGGAGAAGGCACCATCTGAGGAGAAGGCGGACGAGGCGGACGGCGCAGTGGCTCCCGCGGAGCCGGAGGAGAAGGCGGAGCCGGCTGCCGAGGCCTCTCCGCCGGTGGAGGGCGGCGACAGCTGAGCCAGACCCTCCTCCCCGGCCTGCATGCCCGAGGGCCTCCCCTGGTGTTGCTATCACAGCGCTCCAGTGACCTCTGCTTCCAAGCTGTCTGCGTGTCTGTTGTCAATGCCCCACGAAATGGCGCAGTCAAATGGTCAGCTGGGTGTCTTCGACTGTGACGTGCAATACAGCTATTTTTAGTGACGCTGGCTGGAACTGGACTCAGCCGTTTATGCTCCGCTGCGCTATCGCTCGAACGGGTCGGGACTCATAGCCAGATGGTAGAGCCAGACCAGCTGACCAGAGACCAGATGGAATGTTTAAGTAGAGCTTACACAATGCGCATCAAAAAGTTACTACGCTCCTCACTTTAAAATGCATAATGAGCGAACATGAGCGACCGGCGCTTGGTCATGTTGCCTGCAGCCAGCGGGATGTTTGTCGTGGCGCTTGATGGCGGAAAGGACGGCCGCCAGGAATTGTCGGTTCTTATGCAGATAATGCCAACAGTTAATTGTTGGTGCAGCCAGACGACCTCTGCAGCCAATACCGGCGATTGCAGTATTAGGTTGATAGACAACCAACAGCTCTCACAAAGAAAGCTCCGTCAGCACGAGGGACGCCACAAATTTCAGTTGGCAATCGTGCTGATGGCGCATCAAACGCGCCAGACATCAGTCGGTTTTTCCTCTGGGTGAAAGTATGCATGGCGGGAGTGAGGATGTTTGGCACAGATCTGGCAGCGCCCAGAAACATCCAATTTTGGAGCAGCTAATACGACTTGCGGGTGTACCCCAATTGGCATCTGGACGGGGATACTTGCGCCCTGCCTTGATACAAGGCCCTAGAACAGGCATTGATGCAGGGCGGATGCGTGCTGTGGGGAGTGGGGTGTGGATGGTAAGATCGAATTAGTGAACCTAAACCATTATTATCGTGCTCAGCTTTCGCATCTGCTCTATGGCATGCAGCGCACGTTGACGCACGTCCGTTGTGGATTCGTTTTTGAGTGTTTGGACAGTATTGCTGCATTGCTGGTGCTTGTTTTGAAGTATTAACTGTATGCCTTGGTTGAAGTAGGGTCACCTTCCCTTCATGTAGCGGCTGCAAGATGAGTGGTAATATTTAATTGTAATAGGACTGTACAATCTGGTTGTTAACAGCCATACTACAGATACAGTATAGCATGGTGCCCAAAAACATTAGATACATTCCAGGAATGCCCTGACATTTTCTGGCCCATTAGTTTTCTGGTCAGGGTGTGCTTTCCTACCTAATGTTAGAAAAAAAAAATTGTACACCATTTGTCATGTTTAAGGCAGGACATGTCATAAATAATCACAAAACAGGTAGATTCATGCACTTACCTTCAAATTTTTTATAATTATGGTGGCTGGCTCCTGAGCGCCGCACACACACACACAGCAGCCGCGACACCTGCGCCATAACTGCATGCGGTCACAACATTACTGCATCAAGCAGCATCAAGAGCCATTAAAAATTACAGGGCCAAGGTAACAAAAACCATGCCAACAGGACTATGGGTTGCAGGAGGATTGGGTGGGGAATGTAAAGCAAAATGAGAACATGGCGACTAAATAAAAGCTCACTTTATGGCACCTATATATGGCATGGAACATGGATGCCAACAGGATGCTGGATTGAAGGGGGTATGGGTGGGGAGGTTAGGTTGGGCTAGGTTCGGTTTGGTTTGGTTTGGTTTGGTTTGGTTTGGTTTGGTTTGGTTTGGTTTGGTTTGGTTCAGTTTGGTTTGGTTGGGTTGGGTTGGGTTGGGTGGGGGTGGGGTGGGGTGGGGTGGGGTGGGGTGGGGTGGTGGGGTGGGGTGGGGTGGGGTGGGGTTGGGTTGGGTTGGGTTGGGTTGGGTTGGGTTGGGTTGGGTCAGGTCAGTCAGGTCAGCTTAGCTTAGCTTAGCTTAGCTTAGGTTCTGGTCTATTCTTGGTTAGGTTAGGTTAGGTTAGGTTAGGTTAGGTTAGGTTAGGTTAGGTTAGGTTAGGTTAGGTTAGGTTAGGTTAGGTTAGGTTAGGTTAGGTTAGGTTAGTAGATTAGGTTAGGTTAGGTTAGGTTAGGTTAGGTTAGGTTAGGTTAGGTTAGGTTAGGTTAGGTTAGGTTAGGCTAGACTAGTTTAGGATATGTTCTGGACTATTCTGGCCTGTGTGTTTCATAAACGAACCTAAACGCGATAAGAAACGATTTTCATTGCATTATTATTGTTTCCTTGGTCCCGTACATTTTTTATGGTTCTTGATAAGCAGAAACATTGTAATTACGCAACAACGCGGAAACGGCGCTGGGAGTCGAGGCGGTGCGGCACGGCGCGTGCGGCGCTCGGGAGCTCGCTATTGTATATATTAAAATTTGATGGTGGGAGCATGATTCTACCTGTTTTGGGATTATTTACGATATTTTCGGCCTTAAGCACGACAAATGGTGTACAACGATTTGTTCCAGCATTAGGTAGCAAAGTACACCTACACCAGTTTTCTTTCTGTTGTGTTGATAGCTATGGTGTTATATTCCTGCAATGTTTTCAATATGTAATTTATGGCTGCAAATAGCTATGCAGGGGGTGTGCCCCAGCAGTTACCAAAGTTATACTATGAATAAATGTGTAGGGCACTGGCTGTTGAATTTATACTTTCCAGTAAGACTAATTAGATCAAATCTTAGAAGATTTTGTCAGCATGCAATCAGGTCTTTTACAACATGCAATGCTCATGCTGCACCCTAAACTGAGTTTTTGGTTCAAAATTTTGAGTTGTGTCCCATTTTCATTATAAAATAAGGTATGTTCTCCAATGGTATTATGTGCAGATCACTGCTTCTGGCTAGCATGTGATGTTGATGGAAGCTGAAAACTAGCATTTGTGTTTGCATGTGGTTTTAAACGAATGCTTCCATTCCAGCGTGTGCTTAAGCCATTGATTATTGTATTTGAGCTCATTACAGTTTTTATATCCATTGACCCCAGGCTGATTGATTTTGAACCATGTCCTAACCAGGCCAATTCTGCATCTGCTGCTCTCCTTGCTACACTCAGCATGAAAGGAATTCTTGACTCAGGATCAAGGCCATATGCAAGTGACATTCATGACCAAGGTCATGCTCTGAACCTAAATATGACTTGAATTTGGATGTGTTTTGAGTTTCAATGGGGTGCAACTTGCTGTGTCAGCCAGATCATGTATTATGCACATCACTCCAGGTTACTTCCATTTTTGAATGTCCACAGAATCTTGGGTGGAAATCAAGCCTTTGAAGACCAGTAACCTTTTCACTGCACACCTGGTAGTTCAGTCGTAGCATCTCCGAAAAACTTGGAAGACAGGACCAAGAGTTGAAAACAAGGCATAGTGATACTTGTGCAGCATATTATTGAATTCCGCAGCCATGCCTTGCTGTGATGGCACGGCTGATGACCCACCCAGCACTCATCTCTGGTGACTGGTGTGTGGCCTGCCCCCCCCCCCCCCCCACTCCATCCACCTCCACCGATGGCGTCTGCCCGTTCCTTTGCGGCCGAGTGCCGGCGACTGGTACGCGGCCGCAGCCGAGCCGAGCTGCTCCTATGCCAGCACTACCTCTCCTCCTCCCCATCTGCCTCTCCATGTCGCTGGCCGGCACCGGCGCTGGCACTCCTCCTGCCGCTGGCCGCCGCCGCAGTGGCGGCCGCGGCCGCGTGCTGGCCGCGTCTCCGCGTCGCCGCCAGCACCTACCCCTGCCTCATCCCCAATAACTTTGCGCTGATGGAGGCGACGCGCCCGGCATCGGACTGCGCCGTCTGCCGCGCTGGCGCGCCGCTGCGCCTGGCGCGCCCCTCCGCGGCGGCGTTCGCGCCGCACGCGTACGCCGGCCGGCCCGTGGTGGTGAGCGGCGCGCTGGACTCGTGGCCGGCCCTGCTGAGCGTCGACTACGAGTTCCTGCGGCGGATGTACGCCAGTGTGCGGGGCAACATGACGGTGGGCGAGGACGGCTGCCAGTTCCTGGCGTTCCGGTCCGAGCTCGAGTCGCTGGAGCAGCTCATGCAGCAGCGGCGCGGCGCGCAGCGCGCCGACAGCAGCTGGTACATCGGGTGGTGAGTGTCGGCCTCGGCGCGCCGCCCGACGGCCGGGTCTCCTCTCCCTTAACGTGGTACGGTGATGGCACGTCGTTGTCGATTTTAGTGCTTTATTCCAAGTTCGGCTGCGCGGTTTTAATAGAACGCACCAACAGAGTTGCGGACAGCTCCGGTGAGCGGGTGGGGCCATGAGGCATCTGATGTCTTGTTGAGAAGGCTCCCCTGGCAATTTATTGCGTAAATGCGACAAATCATCTGGGCGTCGGCCTGTAGCCGGTGCTGAAAGAGCATGATACGATGAGAACCATTCATACGATGAGGAAAAAAGAACAAACCGTCATGCGGTGCTTCACACAAAGCCTTCCTGCGGGCCAGTTAGCGTGTCTGTCGGCACTGAAGACCCGCACGTCGCGCGGCTGCCGCAGGAGTAACTGTGACCCGCGCGTGGCGGCGATGCTGCGTGGCCTGTACAGCTGGCCTGACTTCCTGCCCGCCGACGGCGAGGGCTCGGCCATTGACTGGATCTTCATGGGCACGCCCGGCCGGGGCACGGCCGTCCACGTGAGCGCTGATATCTGGCGATGAGACGCCTGGCAGAGCACGGCCCCTTTGCAAGGATGCGATCGGATTCTTGCAATCCATGCGTAATGTTCAAGCTGTTTTTGTTAACTTTAGTTTGTTTTTGGCAACACAGCATGTATTTAACCTTGTCTTGTTACACATGTACGCTGGCCAGATGAGAAATGTAGTATATATGGTTGGCAAAGTGTCACTACCTGACCCCACTCCCCCCTGCTCGTGCTGTTTGAATTGTTTGCATTTATCCACCACTAAGTAGTTAAGGTGGTTGTCGTAGTTTGACATTAGTGTGTTGTTTCAATGCATTTTGGTCCCTCATTTGCTTCACTTTCCTTAGGAGAGCGAAGGAGAGAGAGAGGGAGAGAGAGATGAGAGGAGGAGAGAGAGAGAGAGGAGAGAGAGAGAGAGAGAGTGAGCGTGAGCGTGAGGCGTGAGCGGTGAGCGTGAGCGTGAGCGTGAGCGTGAGCGTGAGCGTGAGCGTGAGCGTGAGCGTGAGCGTGAGCGTGAGCGTGAGCGTGAGCGTGAGCGTGAGCGTGAGCGTGAGCGTGAGCGTGAGCGTGAGCGTGAGCGTGAGCGTGAGAGTGAGCGTGAGCGAGAGCGTGCGCGTGAGCGTGAGCGTGAGCGTGAGCGTGAGCGTGAGCGTGAGCGTGCGTGAGCGTGAGCGTGAGCGTGAGCGTGAGCGTGAGCGTGGCGGAGCGTGAGCGTGAGCGCGAGCGCGAGCGCGAGCGCGAGCGCGAGCGCGAGAGAGGGAGAGGGAGAGGGAGAGGAGAGGGAGAGGGAGAGGGAGAGGGAGAGGGAGAGGGAGAGGGAGAGAGAGAGAGAGGAGAGAGAGAGAGAGAGAGAGATATATATATATATATATATATATATATATCTGAAATCTGAAATCGTAATCTGAGATCTGATCAAATCTGAGATCTGAAATCGGTCATATATATATATATATATATATATATATATATATATATATATGACCGATTTCAGATCGACAACGTGCACCGGCCGTCGTGGCAGGCGCAGATCCGCGGCTCGAAGCGCTGGCGGCTGCACCCGCCGCCCGAGTGTGAGCACGTCTGCCGCCCCTTCACAGTGGACGTCCGCCGGGGCCAGATGTGTGAGCATTGGCCTTGTGGATGGGCTTGCGTTTGTTGACCATGTGGACTGATTGGGGTACACGTGCCTGACGGTGACGGTGGTAAACATTGGAACGGGACGTTGCAAAGCAACGGTCTTTGAGCAATCGCGCTTTGGAATGATTTACAAGATCGAGCGTCCTGTCCACGGAGAGGCGAGAGTTGCGTCATTGGCGATGCATGTATGGGTCGTGGAGATGATAAACTGGATTACTTGATGATTGATGAGATAAGTTAGCTTAACACTTCGTGAGGCCATTTGAAATAACTGTGTAATATATGTTAACTGTACATAACTTGATAAGATAACTTGCTATCTTGGAGTCAAGATATTGGAATTGGTTGGCTATCAGATATTCTGCAGGTGTTCGTTGCTGACAAAGTTTGTTTGTGTTTGTTTCAGTTTTGCTGGACACGAACCAATGGTACCATGGCACCGAGGTGATCGGCGATGAGATGTCCATCACTATCGGGTCCGAGTATGACTGAGTAATGTGACGAGGTATCCATCACTATCGGGTCCGAGTAGGACTGAGTAATGTGACGAGGTATCCATCACTAAAGGGTCCGAGTAGGACTGAGTTGTGTGGCGAGGTATCCATCACTATCGGGTCCGAGTATGACTAGGTTGTGTAGCGAGGTGTCCATCACTATCGCTCTTTGGTGTCACCGAGTTATGACTCAGCACTGCAAACGGTCACAAAGCACCTAGCCTTTCGGCGCTAGCTGTTGAGATCTGAACGCCCACACAGCACAAATGCTGCTACTTAACGCTTACAATTCTAGGCGGGTGTTGTGTGTCCATGATGATGCTGTGATGCCAATAATCGGTCCGGCTGAGGTTTAGTTAGATGTGGTCGAGCCTCCACGGCTTTTACCACATTAACTGTGTCGTAATATGCGTTGTGGAAGCAGCACACGTATTCTGTGCTTTGATGCTGCTACTTAAGTCATGCTTGCCGTAACCTCTACCAAGACTTGGTTTCCTTTAGTGGGTTGTTTTGTTTGTGTCTTGTTTTATAATGTTGTTGGTTGAATCAGGCATGGATATCGTAAGTCTGCAACATTGGCTCATTCAAAGCAGCATCCCTGAATATTCACGAAAGAGTCCATATCAGGCTCCATCACAGGCTTGATACCTGCTTCTGTGGATATTTTGGTGCATGGTGGCCATGCCGTAGTGCGCATCTCCCACGATTACTACCATAGCGGAAAAGCTAGTCAATGAACGTAGTGCAACGTTTTTGTTAACGATTGGTCACCCGTATCAAGCACCTTCGACATGCCCACTCGTAGCGCTGGGATATTTGTTGTCTGTGTCTCGTGTTATGCCAAAGAACAGCGTCCTCCGTCGCAAAGACGCTCCCGAGCTTCCGCCGATACTTTGTATTGTCGCGTCCGGTATGGCACCGAAGAGCGGCGCATTCTCATTGTGATAACGCACCAGAGCTTCCCTGATACTATGTATTACCTCGCTCCTGTAATGGCCAAAGAGCGACGTGTTCGCCTAGAGATGTCTCAGCGGAGCTTCCGCTGTGGTTGTCCGTTGTATTTCCGCGTCTCTTTAGGTGTTGCCGCGCCGTCTGATGCAAAGAGATGACTTTACGATGTAATAATACACCAGAGCTTCAACCTATGCCGCGCGTCGTCGCCTTTTGGCCTGCCGGAATCGCACCAGAAACGCCGACGAGGACACCCGGTGTCCTCGTCTTGGGACCGGGTGAATCGCGACGGTGCCTCCGGTCCAGGGGCACCGTCACGATTGTCAGTGGCCATTTGTCACGATTGTCAGTGGCCATTTGTCACGATTGTCAGTGGCCATTTGTCACGATTGTCAGTGGCCATTTGTCACGATTGTCAGTGACCATTTGTCACGATTGTCAGTGGCCATTTGTCACGATTGTCAGTGGCCATTTGTCACTATTGTCAGTGGCCATTTGTCACGATTGTCAGTGGCCATTTGTCACGATTGTCAGTGGCCATTTGTCACGATTGTCAGTGGCCATTTGTCACGATTGTCAGTGGCCATTTGTCACGATTGTCAGTGGCCATTTGTCACGATTGTCAGTGGCCATTTGTCACGATTGTCAGTCACCATTTGTCACGATTGTCAGTTACCATTTGTCACGATTGTCAGTCACCATTTGTCACGATTGTCCAAACCGTAAACCATTGCAACTTCCTTATTGGTAATGTTTTTACCATACGGTCTCTGGGCATAGCGTTGTAACAACAAATAAGATAAGTTGCGTGGCAACGAATGTACTTTGGACATCCTAGCCAAAATACTAGCTAGCCAAAAGAAGGTAGCGTTTGGCCTCGAGCTATCTACGCGTTGGCTTAAGGCCGGGTGCTCGGTCATTTCGGTTGGTTGGACATGTGTAGGATATGTGTTGGCATCCGGCTGATCTTATTTGCTCTTATTACAACACTAAAAACTCATCGACATCGTCGGCTAAAACTGCTAACCCTGAAGAGACTAACATTCAATCCGTTCTAGTCAATACTTTCTATTCAATCACTAGTCCGCCGCAGTTTAAAGCATCATGCACGGTACTTTCCAACGTGTCTTCCTGGCTGGCGAGTATTTTACATACGCAAAATATCAACAGTTTTGCCCAGCACGTGTGTGGTTGACGGCTGGACCGAGTAAAGCGTAATGCATGTTTAAAGCACCACGAAAGTAAAATAAACGAAACATGAATTCTGGAGTGCTTGGGGGCGGTGGGGCAGTTAGCATTGCTGGTTCCCACCTCACAAAGCATTTGGCTACGTCGCCTTTCGCCGTTCCTATGCCGATGACGTTCTCTTCCCGCGGCCAATTCCTCCCCGGCGTTGCTCTGTATACGTACCGTCGGCCCTGGACATAGCCTTGGCCCATATTGTACGCATACGCATCATACACATGTTAACTTCGGTGCGTCCGAACAAGGCCGAGAGGCCAATGTGCAGCAGAGAGCTCACTTCCCTGTTTACGTCACACTACTGGGAAACGGCGGTACACCCGGCAGGGACGTGACCGCAAATGAGCGTGGGGTGCACAACTCCGCCACCTCGGATAACGTACTTCACGAGTTTATCCCAACGATACAAAACAGGTCACACGACCTGACCCAACGATAGAAAACAGATCATACGACCTGACCTCCTGCGCTTAACTTCACAGTATGACCTGTGCTCGCTCCACGAAACCCGCTTCACAACAAACGTTTCTGTCATACGAGGACATGACATAACGCAACACTCAGAAATACCAACAACACTTGAGAAAGGAAGCGAGAAAGTAAGAGCACAGCACCATGCGCAGCTGCTGCTTCACTTCTATTCGCAGTCAGAATACCACAGCGGGAGCGCATGGCGCATGAGAGCAATGCCCACGCTGCGACGCACAGGAATAAACCCTCGCCGCCGAATCCGAAACCCTCCGTAGCAAAACCATCGCAACACAGCTCGGTGCGCCGCAGAGCACAGTACACCACCGGCTAGCACGTGTCGGGACAGGGCGCCTGGCGGTGACCCAGGCGACGCTGCACATCCTCCGGCAGCCAGAAGGCGGGACGGCCGACGGCCGGCCTCGTCGCTGCCGTCACAGCAGTCGCACACGCCATCGCCGACTCTGCTGGCCGGCAGGTCGCGGCCGCGACAGTGGAACACGCCGTTGGCGCACGCCGCCGTGCCGGGCTCGTCAGTGCCGTCGGCGCAGTCACAGTAGTCGTCGTTCACCCCGGGCGCGTGGCAGCTGCTCACCGCTGCGCAGACACGTGAACTCGGCGAGCCGGTTAGAGTGCAGCCACCTCCGGCCGCACGCCGGCCGGGGGACATCTGGCAACGCCGGCGCAAGGTTCGAGTCCGGCCGGGCGCCGCCAAGTGGCGCGTCCTCACCCTTGCGCCGGCCTTGGTTGCGCGGGTCGACGCGCGGCGGCACCACCAGGGCGCGCACACGCTCGTACTTGCGCTGGCCGAGCGGCGCAGGCGCGGGCGCGTGCTGTGTGGCAGCGCGCAGCCGGCCCAGCAGCAGCATGGCCAGCAGCAGCAGCAGGCAGCCTATGACCAGCAGGATGCGCGATGGCCGGCGCGCGCCGTGCCGCCAGCGAACATAGCAGCAGTACCAGGTCATGGTCACTGTGGATGGGCCCACTCAGACCTGGCACCCAGCTGAGGGTGGCAGGTGCCCAGCAGACCAGCAGATGGCAGAAAAGGCTGCCTGCTGAAACACAGGGGTTTTGGATGCACACATATGCTCTGGAGAATGTACACAGCCAATGCTTCATGGAAGCAGACATGACATGAAGGACAAGGTCAGCTTGTAAAAGGAAGGCTGAGTAGTCAGTGAATAGCAAATACAGGAACTTTCTTCACAACTCTTTTTATGAATGGATTGTATGGGTGTTTTACATTTTGACTATTTGCACAACTTCTTCCACATAACATAAACCTTCTATCTAAATTCTGATGCTTCATTTGAAGACAACTTTGCTTCTCATCCTTTGCCTGATGGATCAGCAGAGTTTTACATGCATCAAGTAGCTGCAAAATAGTTTTCACTATGCCTTGTTTTCACCCTTGTTGGATGTTTGTGAGCTGACCAATCCTGCCACCAAGTCAAAGCAATGTGTCTGCCTTGACACTCATGCCCAGTACTGCTGGATATATCCCAGAGCTTGTGCATCAGCATCTATCCCACAGATCATGGAGATGGGAATATCTCCTGGGCTGAAAACATCATCTGCATATACTCTGGAAGAAAGTCATAAATCAAAACACCAGTCTTGTTTGAAGCCAAAATAGTCAAACTACAAAGTTGATGTGCATGAGTAAGGCAGGCATTCATATCTCTGGAAGCTATTTATTTACTGTGACCCTATTTGGTGCTTGAATATTATTTGTATCACTGCTTGAACATACTGTAATGCATGAAGGTGCAAAAGCTATACAATCTGCACACTATCATGGCAATTTTTGAGATAAACTACAGCCAAAAGATGGAAACAGCTTAGATCCCAAAAGAACATTCAACATACAAGGGATGACTTCCAAGCACCACTGACCTGGAAATGACGCAAATGTTTGTGGACAAAGCTAGGCAAAGTTACCAAGAATACTTTGATTTCCCATTGCATATTTACATTACAGAGCAGAATGTAGCACAGCATATCGACATAAGGCTGTCGACAGGCATCGCCGGGCTTTTAGTCCCCCCCCCAAACGACAGCCGTGTTTCAACACTGCCTTGCACGTAACATGCAATTTGCGTTGGAAACGAAAGATATGCGCCATTGCTGTAACTAAAACAATCACCGTTTTATTTTGGTATGTTAAAAAAGATCATATTAGTCCAGAAGAAGCGTTAAAGTTGATTTTTTTCAAAAATCTTAGGTATTTCTGTTTTTATATAGGATTATCGTAGCCTTAAATAACGGTTTTGCATAAAAACAAGAAATAGATCTTTTTATTATATTTTTGCCACTAGGAGCGCCTTAATAGCCTCATGGGGGGGGGGGGGGGGATCGTCAAGCTTACATGCACATTTATCCCTCGTTCCGCACGCTGTCGCTTTCACTTTTGCTGTCCATCTGGGAACGTGGTGTGTGTGGATGTTGCGTAATTTGTAGCTACATATCCAAATCTCCAGCTTCGAATCATATCAGATTGACGCTCCGTCAACCTGAGAGCGTGCCTGAATAGTGGACTCGTGTGACAACCTTCAGTCGACTTGCATAATGGCTGCTCTCCGTCAAACTCCACTGACATGCAGTGGCCATACTAGGCCAGTTGTTGACCTAGATTTCAGCAGCATCACTCCTGAAGGATATTTTATGGTGTCAGCTTGTAAAGGTACGTCATTACTCAGTGTGTATTGATAGTTGTGTTGTATAGATGCTTTTGTGGTGTCTTCTTCTGGCAGTTGTGGCGAGTCCATGTGTGATGGGCAGGGTTGTAATTTTGTGTTCAACTGGGGAGGCTTCATATGCACCCCAAACGTGGGCTCCAGCCTCCAACTTTGAGATAGAATTTGGCAAGATCCAGGGGAAGTCCTCTTGTTAGCATACTTGGGGAGTAGGCTGCATAATTTTTCATTGATTAGTCCCTCCCCCCCCCCCCCCCAGCTCACTTTGAGAAAAGATGCCCCATTCATGAGTTTAACATAGGGTTTTTAAGAATGTATTAACTGCATCAGTTACTTTCACCTCTGTTTTGGCTATTTGCACCATGAGTAAGTATGCATACCCTCTTCTCCAAGCAACACCCATCATACCAAAATATCAAATCTGACAGCATTAGCACAGCTATGAAGAGAAACAAGGATTCCCATATTTTTTTTTTACTTTATAAGTTGTGGTGTTCCTTTGGTGATGAGCTGTGGCCTCTTGTTAGTTATTATTTGAAAACAAACTTCTCTTTTTGAGTGCAGCATGATTTAAGAGCATAAAAGTATCCTAGTTCTGTGTACAACAAATGAGGGCCTACCTTACCCTGTTTAATGAGAGTCAACAAATGAGCCTGCACTCTGCCAAGAGGATTTGGAATGATGCCCCCTTCCACATGGGGCATTTGCATGGCCTAAACTATATTGTTCTTATCTTCAAAACCTCATTAGGTTTTGCTTTGCTTTACCTCAAGAAATGCAGTAAAACAAATTTCTGGTGAAAGTTGTGTGCATGTAATCCAAAATGATGAAGCCTGCTGTGTTTGCCTTACCTTGTCTGATGTTCTATATTTGGGGGCTGGGCCATTTGCCCCCCGGGCTGGCCTATACACTCTGCAGACTTGTATGTTGTCCTGTTTGGATAGGATGTTTATGTTCATGTTCTTAAAATGCATGGTTTGTATGGCAGTTATTCATTGCCATGGGGAAGGTACTAGGCAAATCCCTTTTGCTATAGGATAGGGACTATGACAGGTCACCTATATGCCAGTGGTCATTTGTTAGACCCACAGGATGGCATTCTCCACACCCCACACCCCATCCCCACCCACAGATGGCAAGCCCATGCTGCGTCAGGGTGACACTGGCGACTGGGTCGGCACCTTCGAGGGCCACAAGGGTGCTGTGTGGGGAGTGGCCCTCAACAATGATGCCAGTCGGGTGGCCACGGGTGCTGCAGACTTCACAGCAAAGGTGGGATGGCTCATTTGGCTGGAAAGAATTATCCTGGAAAAGTTGTACCTGCTAACAAGCCATACACATGTTGTTCATTCCAGGACAGTGGTAACAAGAGAGTTGTCATGCAGTGGTTGCAGGGAAGGGATAGAGGCTTTGTTGGCCAAGGTGTTCATTCCGACCACTGCTCTGTTTTCTGAAGGTTTTTCCTGGGTCACCCCGTGATGATGTCTGGATCCTCAGTGTTATTTAAGACATGGTGTGACAGATACTGTTTGCCAGCTTTCGCATGCACAGCCGTTTTAACAGCACCCTGTTCCCCAACATTGAATCTGCCAACTTTACACACAGCTGTTGTCAGAGAAGGGGGACACACAGTGAGATGCCAAACTGGACACTTTTCTGACCCTGTGCCTTGTCCGGAAATGAGATGACCCGACCTGACCTGACCTGGTGACCCAATTGCGCCGGCAGCTGTGGGACGCGCAGTCAGGCGAGGAGCTGCGCGGCTTCCAGCACAAACACATCGTCAAGTCGGTGGACTTCTCCGCCGACGCGGGCCTCCTCCTCACCGGCAGTAATGAGAAGATGCTGCGCATCTACGACCTGGCGCAGCCTGAGGCCGGTGAGCCGCCTCCTAACGCGCCCGCCGCCGGCGAGACGAGCCGCCTCCTAACGCGCCCGCCGCCGGCGAGACGAGCCGCCTCCTAACGCGCCCGCCGCCGGCGAGACGAGCCGCCTCCTAACGCGCCCGCCGCCGGCGAGACGAGCCGCCTCCTAACGCGCCCGCCGCCGGCGAGACGAGCCGCCTCCTAACGCGCCCGCCGCCGGCGAGACGAGCCGCCTCCTAACGCGCCCGCCGCCGGCGAGACGAGCCACCTCCCACCGCGCCCGCCGCCGGCGAGACGAGCCGCCTCCTAACGCGTCCGCCGCCGGCGAGACGAGTGACCTTCTAACGCGCCCGCCGCCGGCGAGACGAGCCGCCTCCTAACGCGCCCGCCGCCGGCGGGACGAGCCACCTCCCACCGCGCCCGCCGCCGGCGAGACGAGCCGCCTCCTAACGCGTCCGCCGCCGGCGAGACGAGCCGCCTCCTAACGCGTCCGCCGCCGGCGAGACGAGCCGCCTCCTAACGCGTCCGCCGCCGGCGAGACGAGCCACCTCCTAACGCGCCCGCCGCCGGCGAGACGAGCCGCCTCCTAACGCGCCCGCCGCCGGCGAGACGAGCCACCTCCTAACGCGCCCGCCGCCGGCGAGACGAGCCGCCTCCTAACGCGCCCGCCGCCGGCGAGACGAGCCGCCTCCTAACGCGTCCGCCGCCGGCGAGACGAGCCGCCTCCTAACGCGCCCGCCGCCGGCGAGACGAGTGACCTTCTAACGCGCCCGCCGCCGGCGAGACGAGCCACCTCCTAACGCGTCCGCCGCCGGCGAGACGAGCCACCTCCTAACGCGTCCGCCGCCGGCGAGACGAGCCGCCTCCTAACGCGCCCGCCGCCGGCGAAACAAGTGACCTTCTAACGCGAGCGTGTGGGCACATGGCATGTGTGGCGTAGCGGACATGTGGGGTGTATGTTCTCTGTGGGGGCTCTATTGATGTGCACAAACTTGTTTTTGTGTGTGTGGGAGAGACGTGGTTTCGTGGGTGTGTGAGCGTGGTTGTGGGAACGGGTGTGCGTGACAGTGTGCAAAAGTTGGGATTTTGTGAACAGTCACGTCAGGCTATAAATTTTGGGCTACCAACCCATCCAGGTCCTTGAATTGACCAACGCAGCAGATCGGTTCTGATGCGACCCTTTCGATGCGGAGATGTGTTCACAACATCCTCGCTGAAAATGCCGTCGCTCTATCGTTGTTTGTCAGTGGATGGGAAGCGAGTGGTGGGGGCGTCTCAGCCATCTGTTACGGGGCTGCCTTAGTGGCAAGGTCCGCCCGCCAGCGCTAGAAAGGATACATTGCCCCGACATGGATGTAAGCTCTCATCAGAGGGATGACAGCTTGCCAGAGACGGGATACTGCCACGGATGGGATTATTGGTGGGACAGTCGTCCCCGTCTGGTGTGTTAGTACCAGCAAACTGGAAGGGGACGATTCTGAACCGATTGCCATCCGTGACAGCTCTTCTTAATCGCTCTGTAAAGCTGTGGCTGCGTAAGCGCGAGCTCGTCCGCGGGGTCTCGCCGGCCGGTCGCCCGCGGCCGGCCGGAGAGTCACCAGCGCGGCGCCGTCCGTCCCCAGAGCCGCAGCTGTTCAAGGGCCACACGGCCAGCATCAAGAAGGTGATGTTCCTGCCGGACGGCGAGACAGTCATCAGCTGCGGCGATGACAAGAGCCTGCGCGTCTGGGACCGGCGCACGGGCGAGGTGAGCCCCGATACAGATGCACAGGTACACGCGGCAGATGCCGGTATCCAGGCCTCACAGACAAGCGCCACATGCGCGCTCATGTGTCGGGAGGAAATATGCACAATTGCCGCCATCTCCAGTGACTGATGACGGCTTGCTGCCTGCCGTGCGTCCTGAACCCCTACCCGTGTGACTTGATGTTTTGTGACCCTCTTATGTGACAGTCAGGCTGTGGCCTGACCCCAAAAACCTCAGCTGCTATATAACCTGACCTTGCGATCCGGTCCCGACCGTGTCATGACCTCGTAAACCCAGACACCGTGTAACCCGACCTAGTAAACCCAGCCGCCATGTGACTTGACCTTGTTAACCCAGCCACCTTGTAAACTCAGCCACCGTGTGACTGGTGTGACCTCGTGACTCCTGACACTGTGTGAGCTGACCTCATGATTTCTGCCCCGGTGACCTGACCTCGTAACCCCTGCCACCGTGTGATTTCACCTTGTGACCGCTGCCACCATGCGATCTGACCTCGTGACCCCTGCCACCGTTTGATCTGATCTCATGACCCCTGTAAGTGTGATCTGACCTCATATCCCCTGTTGCTGTGTGATTTGACCTCCTAACCCCTGCTGCTGTGTGATTTGACATGACCCGTGCTGCCCTGCGTGGCCGCGGACGCGCTGTGAGCTGACCCCATGACCCCGGCCTCAGGCGACACGAACGGTGGAGCTGCCGGCGGCGCCCATGGACGTGGAGGTGTCTGCCGACGGCCAGACACTGACCGTCACGCACGGCAAGACGGTCAGCTTCCGCTCGGTGGAGAGGTGAGGCGGGCCACGGGAGGTCAGACGGGTCGCGACCAGTGAGGTGGGGGTCAGACGGGCTTGAGGTCTGAGGCGGAGCAGGGACGTGGCTCGGTCGGACGGGACAGGTCTGAGGGAGTCGATCGGTGAGGCGAGGGTCAGACGCGCTTGAGATGTGAGGCGGATTGGGGACGTGGCTCGGTCGGACAGGGCAAGTCTAAGGGAACGGAGAGCTTAGGTGTGGCACCATACGGCGACATGCCGCGAAGGAGTCAAACCAAGCAGGAATGCTGTAGCCTCTGGAAAGGAAACGTGGGAATCTGCCGGCTTCACTGAAAAACACGTTTGCCTACGTCTCTACGTGGACTTTGTCACCATTTAATGACCCTGCAGCGGACGCCACATGCGACGCTGCAGCCAAGTCGATGGGCACAATCGCGCGAGCGTGCGCTGGCGCAAAATGTGCGCCAGAAAATATCATTGCACCTCCCACCCACTTACGCCAGCGTTTCCGTCCCCCCGCCCCCGCCGCCTGACGTTCTAACGCGTGATCATGCTCGCCCGTCAGCCTGGAGGAGTTCAAGTCGTACTCGTCGGCGACGCAGTTGTTCTCCGCCTCGCTGCACCCGAGCCAGTCGGTGTTCGTGTGCGGCGGCGAGGACTTCATCATGTACAAGTACGACTACGCCACCGGCGCCGAGCTGGAGGCGTGCAAGGGCCACTTTGGGCCCGTACACGTGGTGCGCTTCAGTCCTGACGGTACGTGAGGGCGGGGCGTGCTCGGGATGGGACGGTGTGGGCGGGGCGTGCTCGGGATGGGACGGTGTGGGCGGGGCGTGCTCGGGATGGGACGGTGTGGGCGGGGCGTGCATGGGATGGGACGCTGTGGGTGGGGCGTGCTCGGGATGGAACACTGTGTGGGGGGGGGGGAGGGGTGCCGGTGGTGTAGTGGTTAACTCATCTGTGTTAACCACTGTGCGTCTGGGAAACCAGAGGTTCGGGGTTCGATTCCCTGCGGTGCCCGCCCTTCCTGCCAGGGTGAGAAGCAGGCGACGCCATATAGCCTCAGCAGCTGAGTGCGTCGCAAAGCCCCAGTGACACGCGGATGGAACGCTATGGGCGGGGCGTGCTTGGGATAGGACGCTGTGGACGGGGCGTGCTCGGGATGGGACGGTGTGGGCGGGGCGTGCTCAGGATGGGACGGTGTGGGCGGGGCGTGCTCAGGATGGGACGGTGGAGTCTGGTGGGACACAGTTCGGTTCAGTCGGCGGCACCATCATTCAGCGCCGGTAGATGTAGAACTTTGAGTATTTGTGTTTCGATTGACCTGAGGTGTTTTGTCGTGGACCTTGGTGGACAGAAGGTGGGGCCAGGATGGGAAAACGCGCGAACATTGGGTGCATTCTTCCAACATGCTGTTCAGCAAGGGTATGAATTGTGTTGAAGCATGTCCCATTGTTGATGAAAAACGTTTGAGCTGTGTTTCGGCAAAGGACACGAGTGAGCTAACATTATCGCTGCATTTCAATTACATGATACCCGAATGTTCTGGAGCATGATCACTTCCCTCATCAGTGTTTTGCTGTCATGCCCGTGACACTCTCAAGCGAAACCCGCTGTTTCTTCCGCGCTTGTGTGGCCGTGCTCGTACTGGCTAGACGTGTGCTGTACCGTCCTGAAGGCCCAGCCGTGACCAGCCGGGACTGGCAATGTTTCACCGTGAGTGAGCGCTCCCCTGCGTCGACCCGCCCCAGTTGTCTGTGCCGTGACCTCTCGCCCTGTTCGGGGGGGGGGGGGGGCAAGCCCCGTGTTGGCTGCTCGCCCCGCCCTGCTCCGGGGGTGCTGACCCCGTGTCCAGCTACTCGCTCCCCCGCGTCTGCCGACCGCCGTGACCGGTCCGGCCCGCCCGCAGGCGAGCTGTACGCCTCCGGCTCCGAAGACGGCACGCTTCGGCTCTGGCAGACCACCGTCGGCAAGACGTACGGCCTCTGGAAGTGTGTCGAGGCCACCATCGAGGCCAAGCCAGAGCAGACGGCCGCGTAACGCGGCAGCGACGTCATGTCAGCGGCTGCACGATCGAGACCAGTGGCGCGGCCCCAGTGTCTGCGGCTCTGGCTGGACTCTGACGATGGTCTCCTCCCCTCGGCGGACTCCTCACCGACGGACTGCCGTGGGCGGGGGCGCGTCGCCGGCAGACAGGCTGTCGCCGTCCCCGCGCGGGTGCCGGACGCATCTGCGCTCGGTCGGGCCCCGCCGCGGCCGGGTCGCGCCGCCCTCTCGCGCGGCCGCCTGTCCCTCTCTCCCCTCCGGTGGCGGGTCGTGGCTGGCGGGACTGTCCCAGTAGTGGTGGAGGATCTGTCGGTCGGCGGGAGCGCGCCGCGTCGGCCTTCCCCGACGGTCGGCAGCCGCAGTAACGGCGGTGGGCCACTGACTTCGTGTGTTTTGGGGGGGCGGGGGGAGGGGAGTGGTCCGCCGCGCTCGTTTGACGTTGCCGCGAACGCTGCCACGGTACGGTAGCGGTAACGGTAACGGTAACGGTAACGGTCGCGGTAACGGTGGCCAGCCCCGCAGTTCGGACGTGGCGTTTCGCAGTGGCTATCAGGGCTAAAGCAGTATTTGACTCAGTGCGGGGCGGGGGTGCGGCTACGCTGGGGGGGCGACCCGCCGGCGGAGGCAAGGTCATGTGGAGCGGTCCACCGACAGGGACGGACAAGGCCATGTGGAGTGAGGAGGACTAAAATACACGCGGGTCCTGCTTCCGACATGGGCGCTTGCATTCGTCCCAAATGTCCCCATCTGACGTCACAACGGAGCCCGAGGGGGCGTCCCCGTCGGCTTCCAACAAGTGTTCGTGTAAGCTAAACGTCTCTTTCAGCGCTACCATCGGATGGTACCGAGCGGGTGTCGCTGTTTTTACCACTGCTCCACTCGTCTGGCCGTGGAGTGTGTGCGCAGTGAAGGTCTGAAGCCGCGCTCGGCGCAGTACGCCGGCGGCCTGCGGGTGCGCGTGCGTTGGTGCAACGCGGATATTATGCCTCGTGGCGGTGTACGGTGATACATGAATACACACCGCCCTGCTGCGTGTTGCTGTGCTGTTTCCCATGACACGAAGTGCTGAGCGCGCTCCGAGGCTGAGGCTGATCTGATCTGCTCAGCCGGGGCTGAAGGTACCGTCGTTCGTGGAGGTGCGCTCCATTGCTGTACGACCCTGCTGCTGAACGGTGTTCCTCGGTGTGCTCGACCGCGATGTTGGCCCCGCCAGGAAGGGGGTCAGTCGTGAGCCGCCAGTGCCGATGTGTGTTACTGAACACTTTATTGAAGGCGGGCGCTCGTCCCTCCAACCACTTAACCAGGGCATTAAGGCCGGTCTGAAGAGGGTTCGCATTCAGGGGCCTGGGAACGCGACAGTAAAAGTTTGTAGTCATTCACGAACATCGCGAACGGAGATTTTTGTAGTCATTGGCGAACATCTGGATCGCGGTCGTTCTTGATCTGGTAAATCGTTAAGACGCGACCGGGTGGTCAGTTAAATACCGTTCGCTGGGGTGCGGGGGTTGATCTGACCTCATCTTTTTTTACGTTTCCCTGAGATCTCAGAAACAAGAGAGATAGGGACACCAAATTCGCAGGATGTCGTTTGTCCGTACGTGAACTCACTCGTGTCAAAACTTGAGCCTCTTGGGTCATGGCTGTCGGGTCCAAAAAGGTCAAGTAAAGTCAAACTCCAGGTTGGTGCCTAAAGTGCCCCAGAGCCCTTTCATGCAAGCCCCGTAAAGCTAGCTTCCTGTGCTGAGCAAAGGGTCACATGCTCATTTAAGGTTGGTGACCTTGTTTGACCCCTGGAAGGTCATGGGGACCTAAATCATACGAGACTGCTTTGGTCTTTTTATTTAAATAAGCGTCAAGGACTTATCCTAGGCGGCATATTTTTAACAAAATGGTGACCTGGGTCGTTTCAGGACAGTGACTTATTCTCACCTTTAAGAAGTTCATAGAACATGCATGATACGGTTCATGTGATCAATCAAGTTAGAATGAACACCAGAAACTACTTCATACGGCAAGCTCTAGAGTAAAAACAGGCTCTTGACCTTCGTTTGACCTCTATACATGACCATCGGTCAATGTAATTTAGTAATTCAACTGTTGTGTTGCCTACAAAACTATTTTAGGGATGTATGGCCTCGTCTAACACTGTTGTTGCATCAGATTGAGCGATTTCCCAGAAATTATCTTCGTTGAATCCATGGCCTTACTTTGACCAACCGTGGGTCAGCAACCTAACAAGATAGATATAAATGTTTGATACCAAAAGATCCGCTTCTCAATTATCTACTGATATTCAAGGTTCGGCGCGGCTACGCCACGCCGTTCTGGAATTATTCTGGAAAAACCTTCAGGAGTCAAATTGACCCTCACCCGAGCGCGTCTTTTGACGAAGGCGATGAGCAGCGCTGGTCTCAGCACTGATGCTTTTTAGGAATGCCACTGATGACGTCGGTCCGGTCGGACTTCGAGCCCTGGACTCGCATTCTGCAATCGCTGAGTTTAAAAAGCGTAACAAAATTTACAGCAAAATAAAGCAAGAGCATTACCTATTCGGGATTTTGTTTGGTTTTGGTCGGCTTTTACCTACGTCATGCACATGATCCTCAGAGCTAGCTTAGGGGGGAGGGAAGGGGAAGATAAGTCCTCCATTAGGATACTTTGGCATGTTATGCAATTGCACCGTAATTGTCAGTACCCTATGCGACGTTCATTGCTTGTGCTTTGGCACCAAAAACGTGCCCATAACTTTTGTGGCTTCGGAGCGGCGGCGGTTTGGGGAATACTGCATGGCGATCCACCGCCGGTGCGCGCTGCGGATGGCAACCGGCAATACTGCGAAACGCGCGCGGCAGGCCGACATTGAACATGAGCCACATATAAAGGTGTTTAAACATAACACATACCATTGTGCTCAAGATTTAACAAGGAACACGCCTTGTTGGGTTTTGTGTCACCACGAGGTATAGTACCCGATGCATAATATGATAGAGCTGAAAAGGGCAATTGTCTGGAAAATTCGAAGTTGACCTGCAATACTGGGGTGACTTATTGGCCTAACAGCATTGAAAGCTAGCACCAATCGCGAGATCTCGTGAAGACTAATCCACTGATATTTTCCGCTGAGCTCTATCTTCATTAGGTTGGAAACGACAGAGGGTCGCACCACCACCCCTTTCCCTTCCCGATCAGTCCGCATTATGAAAAACGGCGAATAAGTGAGACGGCTATGGAATAAGAAAAAACGGATTTGGAGATAAAATTTCACTTTAGTTAAGGATATATTCCCATGCCCCCACCTTTACGCTGCCGTCAAGTCCAGGACGAAATAGAGGCATAGCAGTTTTGAATAATCTTAAACGTCTGCCAAGGACGCATCGCAAATGGGATGCCACCAAGCTTTTTAAATGGAAACAATGAGTCTTTGGCGTCAAATCGGGGAATTACTGGTCCAGTAGTAAGGTACGTGGCTTAGTGCAATGCAAGTTAAGCATATTTTTAGAGAGTTCTATTGCCTTTGAATTGTGACGCGCTTGGGACGCCTTCACTTATTTTCACATTGCGAAACTGAACTGCATTTTCTCTCTCACCTATTTAGCAGCAGTTTAATGTCATCCGCGGGTTTATTGTGTGGGCCTTATTTTGTTACGAATACGGCGCACACCCGAATTGCAGCGTGATGAGAATAATTCAAGCGGTGGTCCGCAGTCGATGAGTTTTTAGCTTGCGTGGGGCGCGGAGGGGTCGCCTGCGGACAGCAGGCATTACCTACGTACGAATATTTTACTGGCTTTTTGTTTTAGTGCTACGATTTACTCAGAATGGGTGTTAGTGTTCTGGCTGTGACGTTGCGACACCTGTGGTTGTTGCCTCAAAATCTAATCAGATTGTCTAAATAAATCATTTTTCTGATTGACCTTGACATAAGGCTGCTGGGGATGGGTGCAAAATTATTGTAGCCTAAGCAGTTGTACATTTAAGGAATTTTCCCTGTCATAATCCACCACCTATGATTATTTGTGGCTGGTGATTTGTACATGTTTATTGATGCATATCAGTGTCTTGTGCGTAATGTAAATATTGTGTCTCATTCCCAAGGTGCAAATGTGATGATGGGAGAAGAACCTGCATAAGGCTAAATTCTGTGTTTACCAGTAGCACTTATTTCAAGGTGTAGATTGAATGGTATGAAACCAAATTCCCTCAACCCAAACATGTGATTATTTTGAAGAAGATTTAAGGATCATATATTTTCTGTTTTATCTGTGTTTCCTTATTTTTCAAGGTATTCTATATAACATTATTCTAGTGGCACAGGCAGCAGATTAATAAACACAGTGCTGTTTGCCATGTACACTGCTCCCCATGTGCATCTTACTAGCTTGCAAGCTTGAATAAGGTGCCTCTGATTGGAGACCTTCCATTATCAAATGAGGTCAAGCTGATGAGTGTGGCCCGCCATCTGGGCTCTCATTTTTGACATGATACATGAGATATGTCCAGAGCAGTTGGCACATTTTAAAGCCCAAATAATCATTACCTGGAATTTAAATCCATTTTCCCAGGATTATGCCTATCAGGGAACCCCTCAACCCAGCAGTATCATTGCCTTGGAATTTTCTTTTGTTGGTCTCCTTGGGATTCAGCCGAACAGAGGCTCTGCTTCAAGCTCGGTAAAGAAATGATCTATTGTGCCAAAGCATTTACAACATTGGTGTGCTGAGTCTAAAGTTCTTGCGCTCTGAACTCTGACACAGATAAATTTGCTCAGAATCTTTGATTTTTCTAACATGAACTATTTTTAGAGCATTTTGTCTGAAATTACCTCTGCAAAAAGTCATTGAAAAATTGGCTGTCTATATGCATAAATTGTGGCACCTGCATGGAGCTCACAGTTATGAAGTATATAAATTGCAAGTGGGGATGTCAGTAGTGTGATATACTTGCCACACTTCAAGAACACCAGCAGTGTGGGCCAACTCCCTTTCTTGCTTTGCCATTGGAGTGAGAGGCAGCCAACACTGCATAGCCTCAGGTGCTGAGTGTGTCACCAGATAATGCTAGATAACCCAGTGATAATGCCACATATGGAAAGCCAAAGCTGCTTGTACTAAAGCTGACAGGAGGCACTGGTTGCCTGCTTGCATGAGTCATCCAGGATGCCAATTTTGTATGGTAGACATGTTGCATGCCTGATGCACATGGAAATGATGATGTGGCAACCTCAAAGTTTGTAAATAATTACTTAAGGTTTTTAGAATGAATTAAAGCTATGTTACTGCAAACTATACAGTTAATGCTTATCTGGGCTATAAGCATGGAGCACAGCACATGACAGCATTGTTTCTAGCCACAGATGCCAGATTTTGCTGCATGGATCCAGACAGAATAATAACCTAGGGTGGCACTTGGCCATTGTGCTGAGGCAAACCTTCTTCTTAAAAAGCTTGAAAGTAGCATCATAACAATAGCATGTGGCCTTTGAAACCCCAGTCACATGTTATACTACTGGAACCTCTTTCACTCATATTGCAACATGTCAAGTAGCTGTCTTTAGACTGTTTGAGTTAGTTAAGGTGTTTTTAAATATTAATGCAACATCCTTTCTGACAAGTTGACTTTTTGGCCACCAAATTAGGCAAATTAAGCCAGTAATGTCAAAGCCTTAGCAATGCCTCATGCTGCTGGCACTATTTCCTGGCAGGGAAAAATGGCATCAATAAGCTTTGAAGCCATTCAGTGGTGCCATAATGTTAGCTCACACACTGCTTTCCTCAGGGGGCTGTCAGGCATGTCATCCATGATGCGTGCCCTGAGCATGGTGAAGAGTGGTCAGCCTGTGGACAAAGCTGCCGCGGTCTGCAAAGTCTCGGCCAAGTAAGATCACTGCTAGCTTCCACATTGACATTATCTGTTCATGATGGCCTGGGAGAATGTTAGGGTGTAAGCATAGTGTAGCATTATGTGGTTATGATGTAAGTGGCAGACGTGGTTGTGGGTCTCAGCATGATTAACATCAGATTTTATTTCTCCGCCGTGTTATTGATGCTGGCTGGTGAAACTCGCTCCACACATGCCTGGTCTGATGTTCGTGTGTGATAGTGCAGAGCACTGATGCCCCATCACGTCGACGGTGTCCACCCGGCCTGACCTGACCTGACCTCTGACCTGACCTTCAGGGAGCTGCTGGCGTCGCAGGCGGAGTGGCTGCGCGCTACGCGCCGCCTGCTGACGCCGCCCGAGGAGTGCGTGTTTGCCAGCGGCCTCGTTCAGCTGATCGAGCTAGGCTGGGAGCTGAACCGCGACTCTGTGCGCGTGCTCATGCGCTGGTTCTTGCCGCACATCGGCAAGAAGAGGTCGGTCGGGGCGGTCTGCCGCTGGGGAGGCGCCAGGGGGCGGGTGAGCCGGCAGGGAGCGGGAGGACCGGCCGGGAGCGGGAGCACCGGCAGGGAGCGGAAGGACCGGCTGGGAGCGGGAGGACCGGCAGGGAGCGGGAGCACCGGCAGGGAGCGGGAGGACCGGCAGGGAGCGGAAGGACCGGCCGGGAGCGGGAGGACCGGCAGGGAGCGGGAGGACCGATAGGGAGCGGGAGGACCGGCAGGGAGCGGGAGGGCTGGGCAGGGAGGCCGCAGACCGGCCACAGGAGCGGCGCTGGGTTACCGGCAGCCTTGCTGTATGTTGTGTGTGGGTGTGTAAGTTGTGTACTACAGTTGTTTGAGAAAAAAACAGCTGTTTTGTGCTGCGTTGGCGACTTGGTGAGCTGTGGGGTACTGACCGCAGTGGCGTCACGTAGGCGTCAAAGTGACGTTAGTGGTCGATGAGCCCTGATACCTCAATCATTACCATAGGCGCGCAGTGTTATGTCGCTATGTCCGCACTTGAGTGTATACAGCACCACCAGAGCCCACCCTATTCCTGAAATCCTCTGACCCCTCCACCTGACCATTCCACCTGACTCCTCCACCTGGCCCCTCCATCTGGCCACTTCTCCTGAGCACTCCACCTGACCACTTCTGACCACTCCACCCAACTGCTCTACCTGACTGCTCTACCTGGCCACTCCACCTGACCACTCCACCTGACCACTCCACCTGACCACTCCACCTGACCCCTCCACCTGACCACTCCACCTGACCACTCCACCTGACCTTTCCACCTGACCACTCCACCTGACCACTCCACCTGACCCCTCCACCTGACCCCTCTACCTGGCCACTCCACCTGACCACTCCACCTGACCTTTCCACCTGACCACTCCACCTGACCACTCCACCTGACCACTCCACCTGACCACTCCACCTGACCACTCCACCTGACCCCTCCACCTGACCCCTCCACCTGACCCCTCCACCTGACCACTCCACCTGACCACTCCACCTGACCACTCCACCACCCCGCCTTCCCCGCGCCGGTCTCTCCATGTGACCCCTCTCGCCGGCCGCCGCGACGCCAGCTCCCCAGCGCTGCCCCACTGCCCTATGCAGAGACGAGCCGGGCGGCGTGCGACGCTGACGCCGCGGCCGACGCCGCCCCCCTCCGCAGGGCCGAGCGGGTGGTGCTGGAGCGCGAGTCGTGGCAGCAGTGGGTGGGCTGGTTCGAGCGGCAGTGGGCCCGTCTGCAGGGCCGCATCAGTCGCCTGCCCGGCCAGCCCACCGACGAGTTCCTCGCCGTCGCCAGGGGCGTGCTTCAGCAGCGCGTCAACAGGTGGAGGCGGCTGCCGGCGCCCGCCCGACCCGCCGCCGGTAAGCGCCGACGCCGTGACGGCGACGGGGGCGATGATGACGAGGCGAGGACGAGGACGGTGGTGATCGTGTGGGTTGTATTTGGCATTAGCTGACATTCCACATGATTACGTGACTGATTCGTGCCGTTTGCCAAAGAGATAAAACGGTGATGATGGTGATAACGGTGATATGATGATGATGCTGGTAATGATGTGGACGGTGATTAAGACGATGGTGATGATTACGATGATGCCGATGCTAATGATGAGGATGATGAGGATGCAGTGTGCTGGCTTGGGCCGTGGCTGCGGCGGGTTCTGGAAGACCTGCGGATCATTGGTCGGGCGCCGCCTGGGGGAGAGTCGCTCGCAGAGTTCCCGCCAGTGGCGTGACTCGAGGCCCCATCACCTACGCGCTGTAACCTGTCCCATGGTTTCTCCTTGCCCATTTGTCGAATAGCGAATGCAATTTTCGGCGTGTCATTCAGTGCCATGGTACCCACTGGCACTGTGAAAGTACCTGTTCTTGGCGGGGAAGTTCGACGCGCTGGGTTAGAGTCCAAACCACTCGGTGCTGTCCCTGCCAAGTCGCACTGAGTTAGAATCCAAACCACTCGGTGCTGTCCCTGCCAAGACGCACTGGGTTAGAATCCAAACCGCTCGGTGCTGTCCCTGCCGCCAGCCGCGGATGTCTTTCGATGCACGCATGGACCGGTGCCCGCAAACCACACGTCGTACCACCAGGTGGCAGAATGAGCTGAAAGTACCGGACTCGCGGTATGCTAGGAAGTTCTGGCTAGAACAAGGATAAAGCGATCTGTGAGATATGCTACGCGAGTGCTCCACGCCTCCGGCTCTGCTCATGGCTACATGAGTATTTTTTGGTGTTCACTTAGGAATGTTTCCTGCCCGCTGCAGTCTGGGAGTTCGCCGTGCTCAGCCGTCTTCCTCCTTCATAGCGTATGGTCGGGCGCTGTCTCTGGCCGCCACTTACTCGAAGCGTCCTCCCGAACGCGCTCTTCCGACCGATTGTCTGTTGAGCCTGGGCGGCACGCTCAGTCCCCACGTGCACAGAGCCGTCACGCGCCCGGCGCTAAACCCGACGCGACCCCCCCCCCCCCCCTCCGCCCCCCCCCCCGCCCCCATCTGGCCGGGACGCGCCGCCCGTGCCGCGACCGCCCGTCTCGCGGCGCGTGCCTGTCGCCGGCCCGGCAGAGCACGGCTGGCTCTGACACGTGCGCCCGCCGGCAGGCGACGCCAGCGCCGCGCCTCCGTCGGCCGCCGCCGCCGCCGACGACGACCAGGAGGTGCTGTACGAGGTGGACCGCATCATGGCGCGGCGCCGCGTCGCAGGCGGCGACGAGTTCCTCATCAAGTGGTGCGGCTTCGGACAGTGAGTGGGGATGGAGCTGGGGCTGGAGCTGGGGCTGGAGCTAGAGCTGGAGCTGGAGCTTGACCATGGAGCGTCAGCGACGGGGATGGGTGCGGGACGGCGTTGATATGTTGGTGAGAGCGCGGCCGGGCGTTAGGCCGGTACGGTGCGTCGATATCTCTGCTTTTACGTGCTGTAGACTCGGTGCTATCCCGTGGAATTGTTGATTGTTTTGTAGTTCTCCGGTAGTGCGTCTGTTGCGGTGCTGCGCTGTCTTGGCTGGCTCGCCGCCTCCGGCCAGTGGATGGGAAATGATCATGGCTTCTGACTCGTCCTGGGACACCAATTCATTGCCACTGACCCCCCCCCCCCCCCCCTCCTGCCGCCGCGTGCGTGTCCTGTTACCGTGCGCCACGTGTCCGGCTCGGCGTGGCTTTGGCCACATGTCTGACGCCATGTGACGGGCGGCGCACGTGCGGCAGCGGCGACAACACGTGGGAGCCGCGTGCGAACCTGGACTGCGGGCCGATGCTGGCGCGGTTCGAGCGGCGCTGGGCGGCGCTGACCGAGCCGCAGCGGCGTCAGCTGGCGGCCGGCTCCGACCCGGCACTCTGCGACCGGCTACTGGGCGGCGCCGGCGACGGCAGCAACGGACACGGCAGGTGAGGCGGACCGGGGCGACGGGGAGGGGCTGGCTGCAGAGGAGGAGGCGGGACCGGGCCGACGGGGAGGAGCGGCTTTAGAGGAGGAGGCGGGACCGGGCCGACGGGGAGGAGCGGCTGCAGAGGAGGAGGCGGGACCGGGCCGACGGGAAGGAGCGGCCTGCAGAGGAGGAGGCGGGACCGGGCCGACGGGGAGGGGCTGGCTGCAGAGGAGGAGGCGGGACCGAGGCGACGGGGAGGAGCGGCTGCAGAGGAGGAGGCGGGACCGAGGCGACGGGGAGGGGCTGGCTACAGAGGAGGAGGCGGGACCAATGCGACGGGGAGGGGCTGGCTGCAGAGGAGGCGGGACCGAGGCGACGGAGAGGGGCTGGCTGCAGGGGAGGAGGCGGGACCCTGCTGAGCAGAGAGGAGGCGGCATTGCTGGGGCGACGTTCCAGAGGGTAGCAGAATTGGGGAGTGCTGAGGAACATTCTTAGGAGGGGGGAGGTTGGGGTGGCCCAGGAGAACTACATGATTGGGCAAGGATGGGGAGTACTGACGACAGCAGTGGACGACCTGGGGGACTGCTCTCGGGCAGGGACCGTCCCTTCCGGAGGACGTCACGGATGGACACGGTCAACTGAGAACGGCTGAAGGGGCACTCAGCAAAGCGGTGGGGAGGTGGAGGGGAGGCCGAGGCTCCTGTTTGTGGCCACAATAACCACGCATACACAGACACATATACAGCAACCACAAGACCCTTAGCGTATGGCCAGGACGCTGCTGCGGCTCCGGGTCTGTATCGTGCTGTCCGGCGCCCCGTCACGTTCCCTGAAAAGGCGTCGAACAACGCCAGCTCGGCCGCGAACCCTGGCCTGGCCGTCAGCTGTTGGTCGGCCCCCGGCGCGCCGCCCACTGACGCGCGCGCTGCACGCAGGGGCGCCGCCGACGCGAAGGGGGACGGCAGCCGGCCGGCCGGCTTGCCCGCCACCGCACAGAAGAGGCGCGCACCGGCCAAGGTCAAGTCAGGTCAGTGACGTCACTGATGAGGTCACGGCCGGTGGCGCGCCGCTGGGGCTAGCCGCGATCGCGTCGTTTCCTGGTTTTGTTGTGGCGTCAGCATTAACGAGCCGTGTGCTTATCTTGTTTCCGATTGTTTGTCGTCGTTGGGATAAACATTTTTTTTTTGTGGCTATGCTTCTGATAGGTAAGGATGTGCTGTGGTATTGTGTCCATGTGTGTCCATCGAAAGTTTTTGACAGCAGCTAAGGCGTTTGACCATTACGACGTTTCGGATTGGTCAGAATGCATCGCCTTATTGGCCATCTGAAACAGGCTGATATTACAGGAGGTTTTCCGTCCATTTAAACCATTAGCGATCGGTACAAGTCAAGTGATTTGTTTGCGTCATTCCGGTCATGGTAATCGAATAGCAGGCCTTGGTGGGCCAAAAGGCAGTGACATGTACCCATTCCCCACGCAGAGCTGTCCCAGTCTTCTCCAGTGCTACCGTGGTAAGTTTGAGGGGAGGAAGGACGACAGCTGTTCGAACCGCGCCGGCGGCCGGCGCCAGTGCGCGGTTCGACCGATGCCCGTTAGTCAGTGACGGCCTGGCGGGACTCGGTCGACAGCGTCGCGCCGCTCTAGCCGGAATCTCGTGCTGGTGCTGCTGTCCTGCGTCCTCATCCCCGCTGGCCGTTGTGCGGGGTGACGTCATCAGCCCCACTGGCCGTTGTGCGGGGTGACGTCATCAGTCCCGGCTGGCCGTGTTGCGGGGTGACGTCATCGCTCCTCTGGCCGTGTTGCGGGGTGACGTCATCACTCCCGCTGGCCGTTGTGCGGAGTGGCCGGCGGTAGACTGTGACTTGGGAAGGACGTGTGGTGTGCGTCACTGCTCTGTCTCCCGGGTCATGGCGCGTCCGAGGATTGGGGATAGGGCTTCACTGGCCGTTGTTGCTGACTGACCCGACCTGATCTGATCTGATAGACGTGACCTAGCCTGACCTGATCATTCGGAGTGGACCTTAAGTGACCTGACCTGACGGGCGGTGTCACCAGGTCGCCGCCTGCCGTCCCTGCCGCGCCGCCGGCCGGGCCACCCCGCGCTGTGCCGGCCGCCAGCCCCCGACCGCCGGCCAAGAGAGGGCGGCCTCCAAAACTGAAGCGCTGCTCCGGTGGGTGTCTAGCGGTGGCGGCCGTATAGCGGGGGGGAGGGGGTCGCGTCCCAGCCCACTCTTTTCCGCACCGCCTGTGTCTTCACGCCGTAGCCCAAGTCCCAGTCTATGTCCATCTCACTGTTCTTGTCTCCGCCGCTGTCCGTGGTGCCCCTGTCTGAGCCTGTGTTTGTGTCATCTGCCCGGTTCCATGTCTGTGTCCGTGTCCTCGCCCGTGCCCGTGTTCGTGTCTGCCCTGTCCATGCTGTCCTTGTCCGTGCCTGTGTCCCTATCTCTTCCACTGTCCGCGGCCATGTTCCTGTCACTCTGTGCGTGTCCCTGTCTATTTCCGCGTCTGTGTCTGTGTCGGTATCCTTCAGCGGGGCACACTCGACCGATGGTCAGTGGCACGGCCGCAGCTGTGCGGGAGCGAGGTCGGTCGGCCGGCCTGGCCTGGTCTCGCCCGTGGCTCTGCCGCCACCAGCCTTCGACTGTGGAGTGTGGCGGGCGCCGTGTGCGTGCAGCTGAGTGTCGGGTGGTGCGGCTAGGAGGGCGGCGCGCCCGAGCTAGATAAAGACCGACCTCCGCTCCGGCAGGAGACGGAACGGCAGCGCCGACCGCCGCGCCCGGCCTCAGGTGAGAACGGCGGCTCCAGCGCCCACCGGCCAACGGCCACGTGTGCTGGACAGACCACGGGCCAGCGCCGCCGGCGGGACCGTTGTGGACGCCTGCTGCCGGCTTGTTGGTGACCGCCATCGGACGGGGAGAGGGCAGTTGCTTTCCTGCGGCAAAGACCGCGGCCGGGTCATTGGGAGCGGTGGGCGCGTCGCGTTCGCCGCGATGCCATGTTGAGCCTATCCTGGCTCTGTGGAGTGGCAAGGCGGAGAGGAGCGGACAGCGGGCCGCGTCCTGGGCCTGTTGACTCTGTCTCCAAGCGGGCCGCTGGCGTGGGCTCCGGCTCTGCACTCTGAGTGTGCACTACACTCTGAGCCTGGACTGTGGAGTCACGGTTTGAGGCGCCCGCCGGGTTGTGTGTCGGCCGGCCGTTGCTGGTGGGGCCGGCGTCGAGGTGGCCGGCGCCGCGTGCTGACGACCGTGACCCCCGCCCCCGCAGGCCGGTGCCGCCCGCCGCGCCGCCGCTCCACCGCAAGCCCAACCTGATCGTCAGCCCCGCTAAAGGTGAGCCGACGACCGGCGCCGGCCGGTCTCTGGCCCGGGGCGGCCTGTCCTCCGCTGCCCCGCTGGTCCGGAGGTAGTGGAGAGGACGGGGGCACGGCTGCGGCCTGTCCTCCGCTGCCCCGCTGGTCCGGAGGTAGTGGAGAGGACGGGGGCACGGCTGCGGCCTGTCCTCCGCTGCCCCGCTGGTCTAGAGGTAGTGGGGAGGACGGGGGGATGGCTGCGGCCTGTCCTCCGCTGCCCCGCTGGTCCGGAGGCAGTGAAGAGGACGGGGGCGTGGCTGCGGTAGCGTGACTCCGGGCGTCTCACTGCCGGACTGTGTACGCCCTTATGACGGGTTCTCAGCCCAGGCTCGACAGCCGGTCTTCCGTCCCAAAGCGGTAAAAGGCCGGTATTTAGCTATGATAGCTTCACGCATTCCAGCCTATTTTAGGCTTAGAACGTAGCGCGTATGGTGTCGGGAGGGCTCTTCGGGGGCACTTTCGCCGCATGCCTGGTTCTAGTTCAGACGCCACAGCATGTTTCGCCATGGCCAGACGTGCTTGAGCTGCCCGTGTGCGCCATCGCTCCGACCGCTTCCTGCTGACGCCGCCCCTCCGACAGCGTCTCCGGTGCCGACGCTCGGCTGGCCGGTCGCTGCCCCGGCTCCGCCGTCGCCGCCATCGTCGCCGCCTTCCCCACCTTCCCCGCCACCGCTACCGGCGCCGCCGACGACCACCAAGCGGCATTCGCCGTCGCCGTCGCCGGCTGCCAAGCGGCCGCGTCCTGCCACCATCGGCGGTCACGTGGTGCTCATGACAGACGCCATGCAGCGGCGGGCCGGCCGCGCGCCGCGGGCCGACGTGCCGCCCTCGGACACCGACGACCCGGAGTTCACCGGCTTCGCGGCCGGCGCGCTGGTGGCGGCGGCGCACGCGCCTGGCTGTCGCGCCGGCTGCGCGCTGGTTCGCTACACCGCCGCGCGTGGACGCGGCGCGCGTGGAGGCGCAGTTGGCGGCGGCGCGCGCCGCGCTCGCCAGCCTGTGGCGCAGGGAGGAGCGGCGGGAGCGCTGGCAGGCAGAGCGTGAGCGGAGGAGGGCAGGCGCGGCGTCAGGCCGAGGCGGAGCGGGCCGCCGCCGCCGCCGCCGCCGCCGCCGCTGCGGTGTCACCGCCCGCGGGCGCTCCGGAGCCGGCGGCGGCGGCGGCGGAGGAGCCGCCGGAGCCGGAGTCGGCGGCGCGGCGCTCGTCCAGCCTCAGTGAGAGGGTGCGCGCCGTGGTGCAGCTGCAGCGGCTGCCGGACGGCCGCAGCATCGCTCAGCCGCCGCCGCCGCCGCCGCCGGCTCAGACCGCCGCGCTGCGGCCGCCGCGGAAGCGGAGGCGGCGCCGCGCGGGCGACTGTTTCTCGGTGCTGAAGAAGCGCAAGCCAACGCGGCCGGCCGGCCAGACAGCGCCGCGGCCGCGGCCGCAGAAGCCTCCGCTGGTGGAGGCGCCGCCGGCCGAGCCGCGCCCCGCGGAGGTGAGGACAGCGGGCGGGCGGAGCGGTGCGGGCCGCCTTGGCAGGGAGGCGGAGCGAGCTCGGCTCGGGGTTCAGCGTCCGGCGCGCCCCGGAAGAGCCCCTCACTGCTGTAGCCCCGGCGCTGGGAGGGTTTTGTGAGCGACTGTTGGCTTAATGATACTCCTGACAGTTGGCAATTACGTAGGTAGGCGGCTTGCTTTGCACAGGCCCGATAGCTTGCGCCTGGCGGCAGTCAGACCCTCAGCTGTGTGTGAGACCGGCTTATGGTGGTGACATTTTCTTGGCGACACCGCACATCTCCGTTATCGGCTCCCGGCGGACAGCAGCGTGTCGTGTTAATTAGTGAGGCGTGGCTGCGGCCGTGGCTGGCGGGTCAAGGTTCTCCAGTGTACGGACCAGGGCCCGTCCGAGGTCGTCCTGCCCTCTCCCCCCAGCCTGTCCCTGTCTGCAATGCGGCTGACTGGCCGCACTAGAGCCGGACACCCGCGCGCTGTCCTCAGGAGTCGGAGCGCGATCCCACCGAGGGAGAACACGAGGATGAGGAGGAGGACGAAGAGGAGGAGGAAGAGGAGGAGGACGGCTCGGACGAGGGAGAGTACCAGAAGGAGAACGGTGGGTGGTCTGGTCGCGGCGTACTCATCACCGCAGCCGCTGCCGTTAGTCGGCTGTCTCGGACACGGTGCGGGGTCGCGCGGTCCCCACCGTGTTTCAGCCAGATGTTGATTTCGGCGGGCTGGGCGCCCCAGTGGCGCCGCATCGGCACGTCTTGTGCTTCGGCCGGGCGTCAACAGTGCCAGCACTGGCTCCAACATAACCGGCTGAATTCGGCCAGGGCTATGTTCTGAGACCGTTCTCAGCCGGCTGACGCGGCTGATGGATGATCAGAGATCGTCACGAGTGTCCCTGTTTCGGTTCTCCGTTCGCCCGGCTGAGAATGGCCAGGCGCTGTTCGGCGCGATGCTCCAGCCCAGTCACGTGTGCCAGTCAGTCCAGGCGATCAGCAGCTGCACGCCAGCCCAGCCGGCGCCGATGTGATACTCTTGGCCTGGGTGATACTCTTGACCTAGGTGGTGCCCCTGACCTAGGTGATGCCCTTTACCTAGGTGATGCCCTTTACCTAGGCGATGCCCTTGACCTATATGATGCCCTTGACCTAGGTGATCCCCTTGACCTGGGTGATGTCCTTGGCCTAGGTGATGCCGTTCACCTAAATGATGCCCTTGACCTAGGTGGTGTTTTTGTTTTGGATGTTGCCCGTGACCAAGACTGTGCACGTGACCTAAGTGATGCACGTAAGCTATATGATGTGCCAGCGTCCGGAGTGGTGCCCAGCCGCGGGCGCGTGTCCAGCCGCCGCCCGGACGCCCGTGTTCAGACGTCTGACCGGCGGCGTCCGTGCCCGGCTCGGCAGGCAAGCCGGTGATCATGGTGCTGCCGCCGGTGGTGCAGACGTTCGAGGGCGCGCAGCAGACGCGCACGCTCGACCTCGACACGCGCTGGGGCACCGTCAAGGTCAACGTGGTGCCCAAGATCCGCGAGAAGGACGGCAGCCTGCGCGAGCTGGCCAAGACCACGCGGTCAGTGGAGCTGGCGCGGGCCGCGGGCGCGAGCCCGGGCGACGCCAGTGGCCGGAGAGGCGCCGGCCGGGGCTGACCGGACCGGGCCGACTTTGCTGGGGGGAGGCGCGGCGTGTTGATCAGTCGCCTGCCGACCGGTGTGACGTCCGTGTTGTCGATGCCGGGGGTGGTCGGTATTACGGGGCACCGGTCGGTGAGTGGAAGGTGCAGTCAGCGGGACTGTCCGCGATGGCAGCGGAACCCAACCCGTTCGATCTCAAGGTCACGCCAGGCTACTGAGGTTCAGGATCTGGTGTGGCTGAGCGATCCGGTGTGGTTCAGCGATCTGGTTTGGCTAAGCGATCTGGTGTGGCTGAGCGATCTGGTGTGGCTGAGCGATCTGGTGTGGTTCAGCGATCTGGTGTGGCTGAGCGATCTGGTGTGGCTCAGATCTGGTTTGGCTGAGCAGACATGAGTGCTGCTGATGGGAACCTCCGATCCTTTGCAGCAACGCATGGGACGGGTCCTGCTACACAAACCTGTTCGCTACTTGTGGGTTCGCTACTATATGTAAACCCCTGTAACATCATTCCACCAGCATTTCTTCACTGATTCTGAGTCCCGCTAGGATTCACTGCGCGATGATCACCGCTTTTGAGGAGGCGTTTTTGTTTGCATGCCGACGACGGGGCCTCTGAGCGCCCTCACAGGGCCAGCTGTAGGCGCGTGGCGGCGCCACTGAGCCGTGCTCTCCTCTGGCCGGCAGCAAGCGGGCGGGCCTGGCGGACGCGCGCGACCTGCTACAGCCGCTGCGCGTGCACTGCGCCGTCAAGTACGTGCGCCGGCTGCCGCCGTTCTTGCCGGCGCCGGCGCCGACGCCGACCGAGCGGCGCCGCCCCGCCGAGCCGAGCGGCGCCGGCCGACCGGACCAGCCGGGCCGCGAGCGGGCGGCCACCAACGGCCAGCTGGACGGACGGAGGAGCGACGCAAGGGCTGCTCAGCACCCCTCTCTTGGTGTGTGTGCGTGCGCGCGCGCGCGCGTGTGCGTGTGCGCGTGCGCGCGCGTGTGCGTGCGTTTCATTTGGCAAGGGCAAGTGGTACAGTAAATGCCTTGTGAGATGAATTGCCTTAGTGCCTTTAGCTGCGGGCCCACTGCATGTATGTGGATGTTCCATTGTGGGCACGCTCGCCACCCGCCGTGCTTCGGGCAGCGCCCGTGGATGGGGTGGGCAGAGGAATGGGTGGGGGGCACGCAACCAAAGCGTGCCTGGTCTCGTTGGTTTGTAACCTGTATTTTACTCTGTGATGAGACTCGAAATGCGTTTTGTGATAATCGGCCATGGACTGGACGTGACCCTGACATCAAATCAGCTATGTAGTCAGACGTATGGTTAGACATCTAGCCATCATTTAAACAGACATGTAGTAATTTTCTAGTCGAACATCCAGCCAGGAGCCTGGCCATTCCCCTGTGCAAACGCAGGCAGTTGTTGCCCCCGTCCGGGCGCGCTCTCCGACTTCGGTGGCGTGAGCGGGGGGCGGCGCCTGACCCAGCCTGACGGCCGTGACCGGGGCGGCGCCTGACCCAGCCTGACGGCCGTGACCGGGGCGGCGCCTGACCCAGCCTGACGGCCGTGACCGGGGCGGCGCCTGACTCAGCCTGACGGCCGCGACCGGTTGCAGGGCGACGGGCCGGTCAGGGCCGGCAGGAGCTGACTATCCTGGAGCGGCTGATGCTGGGAGCAGACGGAGTCGGCCGCCGCCGCCGCCGCCGGGCCGCCCTCCATCTTCGACCCGGACACGCCGGCCGACCGCGCCCTGCCGCGCTTCGTGTCGCTAGAGGACGACCTGCAGGTGGGAGCGCCGCCGCCTGGTAGGGAGGGGATGGGGAGCGGCCCGCCCGGCGGTGGGAAGCGCGCACCGCTGGGCCATAGAGCCTCCGCTCAGGTCTGCGCGCAGCTCTGTGTCACAGTCCGCCTCGCTGACAATCGGGCAGGTGTGGGGCACCACTGACACTCGGAGGTGTGGGGCACCACTGACGCTCGGAGGTGTGTGAGACACCGCTGACATTCGGGGAGGTGTGGGACCCCGCCGACATTCGAGCTGGGCTCGGTGCAGGTGTCCGCTGTAGTCAGGGAGCGAGCGACGGGCGAGACCGGTCCAGCCGGGAAGCATCTGAATGCACTTCAGTCCGCAGCCGAGTGAGCACCGAGATACTGAAATACACCGCATACTGGCTGTGGCCAGGTGTGATGGCTATTTGCGTATTGCCCTCCCCCCTTGGTTCGTTTCGCGGCTGTCACCACGCCGTGACCGCGGGAGACCATGGCTTGTGTTCGGCCGGCGAGGCTGATGGGACACTATAGTGGAGAGGATACGCTAGGATGTAGTGGAGAGGGTACGCTGTTTTGAGTCTCCACCGTTTTTGAGGGCCCGTGGTCGAGAGCTCCATACAGAGCCCTGTTGAGGTCCGCTTATCGCCCGGCTGCCCAAACATGACCACATCTCACGTGACGTCTGCTGTCAAGTGTATGGCCCGGCTGAACCCGCGTCGTGGTCGGCGCTGTGTGAGGTAGCCGGCCGTCCTGGTCGGCGCTGTGTGAGGCAGCCGGCCGTCTGGTCGGCGCTGTGTGAGGCAGCCGGCCGTCTGGTCGGCGCTGTGTGAGGCAGCCGGCCGTCTGTTGCGCGGGCGTGCCACCCGGGTCGGGTCGGCCCAGAAGGGCTGCCACGACATGTAGCTTACTCTGTCTCTCGCCCGCCAGGCCTCCAGTTCAGACTCAGACTCAGACTCAGATTCAAACTCAGACTCAGACTCAGAACAGGAGCCGAAGCGTTCGCCCGACTCGAAAGCAGCATCGCAACCAGACCCGGTGCCGGAGGTGGGGCCGACGCCGGAGCCAGAGCCGATGCCGGAGATGGAGTCTGCGCCGGAGCCAGAGCCAGTGCCGGAGATGGAGTCTGCGCCAGACCAAGAGCCGGCGCCGGAGATGGAGTCTGCGTCGAAGCCAGAGCCAGTGCCGGAGGTGGAGTCTGCGCCGAAGCCAGAGCCGGTGCCGGAGATGGTGTCTGCGCCGGAGCCAGAGCCGGTGCCGGAAATGGAGTCTGCGCCAGAGCAAGAGCCGGTGCCGGAGATGGAGTCTGCACCGGAACTAGAGGTGGTGCCGCAAAAAGGAGTCTGCGCCGGAACCAGAGCTGGTGCCAGAAAGAAAGAGTGCGCCGGAGCAAGAGCCAGCGCCGGAACTGGAGGCGGAGTCAAAGAAGGAGTCTGATCCGCCCACCGAGCGGGAGCCGCCGCCGGAGCGGGAGCCGCCGCCGGAGCGGGAGCCGCCGCCGGAGCGGGAGCCGCCGCCGGAGCGGGAGCCGCCACCGGAGCAGGAGCCGCCGGAGCAGGAGCCGCTGCCGCCGCTGCAGCGCTCTGACCTGGATCTGCTGGCGCATATCTGCGAGAGCGAGAGCAAACAAGCGGCCGCTCAGCAGGTACGGGGATCGGCACGGCCCGCGCCGGTGGGGGAGGGGCGGGGCACGGGGGCTCGCTGGGCTGAGCGACGAGCGCGGAAGCACGAGCTGTTGTTAACCGATGCGGATAGTTGCCTCTGTATCGAGATAGGTGGGTGGCGTTGTCATGGGGCTAGGGCTGTGTCCTACCGGCACCAGGGCGTGGCGCTGTCAACGTCCCCAGCTTTGTGAGTTAGAGAATACATGGGAACGGATGTCTGGCAGCGGGCTGCTGCCGCCCAGCTTCGTCACGCGGAAGGAAAGACGGTACGGCTGGGATCCGTACCCGCAGGGAGTCGTGTTGTGATCGCTGTTGTCGAGGCGCTAGGTTCGGGCCCGTTCACGCCCTGTGCAGGGATCGATGTCAGACAGCCGTGTTCAGCGGTAGCTGGCGGGAGTCGTGCGCCATCGAGGCGCTAGGTTCGGGCCCGTTCACGCACTGTGCAGGGATCGATGTCAGACAGTGGTGTTCAGCGGTGGCTGGCGGGAGTCGCGCGTCAGCCGATGCTCCGCAGCCGTTGTGGCCACCGTGGTGGCAGCTGCGCGCCGCGTGGCGCGGCCAGCGGCATGCAACTGTTTTGCGGGTGCGGTGATTGTGTGGATTCGGCCGCAGGGTCACGACCAAAGGCGGTGGCGATGCGCAGTCCACCGCCATCTAACGGGCCGCCCGGACAGGGACGAGTTCACGTCGAGCGCCGATGATGGCAGTGTGGCATCGGCGACGGAGGTCCCTGGTGAGTCTGGATTTGTAGCGATACCTTGCTCACGTTGCGAACGGCCGTGCTTCGTGTTGTTGCATGACTGTATCATCCCGCAGCCACGCTAAGCAGTGATGCTGCCTAATGAGTAATGAAAATAATGCTAATGCGAGGCAAGTTGTATTGCCTTTGGTAAGGTCCGCGCAATTCCGACTGCCGCTCTCATTGACCGCCGAGTTTCAACACGCGCATCCTGTGTGGTGGAAGAAAACAGGGCAAGAAGTGCACTTGACTATTGACGTTTTTGTGGCCCCCGGCGAATTTTATGGCATGCCGTGTTGCATTCTCCCTATTCAATCGCATCGTCTTCTTTGTTACACAAGTGAGACATATGTGAAGTTGCATAGCCCCGGGAGTCGCGGTGCCTTGCTGTCGCTTTGCATTAACCGTGCTTGTGCTGCCCTCAGTGGTGGGAGGGTCCGAGGGCGCCACCCCCTCCCCGTCCACCTCCCGCCCATTTCTGCTGAAAAACGATCGAGCTGATCACTGGCCTGATTTGGACCGCGCACAGTAAGCCGGGTGGCATGCCGCTGACAGTGACCTCTGCTGGTGACCTATTGACCTCTGAGGATCTCCGGTGACCTCTATTGACGTCCGTTGCCTGTGCTGACTTCCTGCCCCCTACCGACCTGTCGTTCCCCCAGTGACCCCCGCTGACCTCTCCTGACCCGCTGACCTCTGGTGACCCATCTGTCGGGTCACCCGATGGGTCACCAAACCCATCTGGTCCTGGTGACCCTCCTGTTGACCCGCGCTGACCTCTTGTTACCCCGATGGCTGTTCATGACCCATGCTGACCTGTCGTGACCCCCGCTGACCTCTCGTGACCTCGGCAGCCGAGTCGGTGGAGGGCGTGGACAGCTCGGGCCGCGGTGCGGACTCGTGCTGGCGGACGGCAACGGCCGTCATCCGCCGACCTCGGCGACCTGGACATGCTGGATGACCCAGGTCAGCGTCATCGGCCGCCGGCCGCCGCCCGGTCGCCGGCGCGCGTCCGGCCAGTGGCCGCGGGCTGCAGCGCCGTGGCCGTGGTCCGCCGGGCCGTGGCGCTGTCACTGGTGGCCGTGGTGATGCCACCACCGGGGCGTGATAGTGGTGCTGTGGGTGGCGGTGCTGTTGCCGTCAGGTCATGCCGCTTTGGTCTCCCTGGCACGGCGCTTGGGTCTGTGGTGGTTGTAGCGCTGTTACTGTTGGAGCATGGCGTGCGGCGACATCCGTCCAGTTGGGTGCTGGGAAGTCGCTGCGAATTCATGCCATCGGACCTCCGTCTCCTCGGAGGACCTGCCGTTTGCGCGCCCCCACACTTCCCCTGCTACTAATGCATTGCCCTTTGACCGCGAACTCTTGCAGTCTGACCTGCCTGTCCCATTGGTTTTTACCTGACCTGACCACCCGATTTGCGTTGCCTGGGGGGCTATCGGGCTCGGTGCTGATTGGCCGATTTTGAGCGCGGGGCGGGGCAACGCGCGGTGGATCAGGATGCACGTGAGCGAGACCTAAATATCCGTCTCCGTGGCGCCCGAGCGGCGGAAGTCTGCCACACCGCCCCCGGGTCACCGCCGGCCATCTGCCGACCATTGCTGGCGTCCCATGTGTCGCAACCACAGCGACTGGTAATCCCATGCGTCGCGATCACAGCGGCTGGCAATCCCATGCGTCGTAGTCACAGCAGCTGGCAATCCCATGCGTCGCCATCATAGCGGTTTGCAATCTCATGCGTTGCGATCACAGCAGCTGGCAGCGCCATGGCGTCGTGTTGTG